AGATGTTTATAAAGAATGAAGTAGGTACCTGAATTAATGATGATGGTAATAAGTATTATGAAATTAATAATTATAGGATAATACAGCACCTATACTCTATTAATATTAATGGTAATAATATTGACAAAAATGTAGTAATGAATTGTGGTTTATTTTTGTTGTATTAATAAAACAAATAATAACAGTCAAGGTAGTCTCCCCTATTGAGCAGAAAATATTTCTCAACCAGTTGTAAATAAAAAATCACATCTCAGTATTATAACCAAGAATATTACTAAATTAGAACGTGATGTATTGAATGTGTTTGTGAGTGAATTAATGTTAATTTGTTAGCAATGAATAAAGTGTTGTTTTCTTCTACTGTACTCACGTTGTCTTGCGTGTTAATCTTCTTGTTGGTTTTTTCCAACACGCGTCTCATTGCTGACACGCGTGCGTTGGACGCCAAGCGATGGAGAATAGTGGAACCATAACGCTACAAGACAAACGTAGAATATGATGAGAAAGAAATAATAAACAACAACAAGAAACTATACACACACCACATATCAACAACACATAACAACTCACAAACATCACACATACATTAATTATTACATTCATCATTATTAAATACTAATTACATTATTTAATATTTTTAAAATGTGGTTTTTTAGGCGAAATCGCGCAAAAAAATATTTGTATCAATTGGCCTATGTTTTACACACAATAGTAAAATATTTCCAAATCGGGATTTTTAGCAACAATACTTTTTGTGAAAAATATCAATTTTATTGTCACCAATTTATTCAGTAAACTGTATTAAACAGAACAAATCCAAACATGACTATTTTTGTAAGTGTAAAATGTATTTTTTCACAATATTTCATATGAATTAGTGATAATGGCCAGAGCATAGGCTTTTTCTGTGTTGTAAAAATTGTCAAATAAATCATGAAATAAAAATCCCATTTTAAACCCAACATGAAATAAATCACAGTAATTGACTTTGAGTTATTTGTATGTCGTATGATGTGTACACATGCTGTGTGCTTGTCATGTTTAAAATGCAATGATATTTAATTCTACTCA